ATCGCTATTAAATTAAAGGGATTTATGTGTCACTGAGTAACTTTTTTTTTTCTCTATATTTTTCTTTATTCTATTATCCAATGTTTAGTATTTTTACATTGTTAATAGAAATTTTTATTAGCATATTACTTTGTTTATTATAATATAAGAGAAGATACATATATTTTTCATTAATCTTGAAATATTTTTTTATTTTTTATTTTATTCTGTTGTTGTCAATAATATTATCTGAAATGAATAAAATCTCTATTTAATTAAAAGGGACTTATATAGTCATCGAATAACCTTTTTGTTATGTATGTTTTTAATTATATTATCCAATATTTAATATAATTGCATTGTTAATAAAAATTTTTATTAGCATATTAGTTTATTTAATATTTTTGTCTACTACTTTCTTTTTGTAATATAAGAGAAGGCATATTGTATTACTCTTGAAATATTCTTTATTTTAAATTTTGTTCTATTGTCGTCAATAATATTATCTGAATTTTAATGAATAAAATATTTATTAAATTAAAGAGACTTATATAGTCATTGAGTAACTTTTTTGTTGTGTATTTTTTTTAATATATTATCAAATATTTAGTATTATTGCATTGCAACTAGAAACTTTTATTAGAATATTACTTTGTTTAATATTTTTTCTTACTACTTTCTTTGTATAATATAATAGAAGATATATATTTTATTACTTGAAATATCTTTTATTTTAAAATTTATCATGTTGTTCTCAATAATATTATCTGAAATTCAATGAGTAAAATCTCTTATTAAATTAATGAGACTTATATAGGCATCGAATAACTTTTTTGCTTTGTATTTTTTTATATAATATTATTCAATATTTAGTGTTACTGTATTGTTAATAGAAACTTATATTAGCATATTACTTTATTTAAATTTTTGTATGCTACTTTCTTTTTATAATATAATAGAAGGTACATATTTTTTTTATTCTATTATTCTCAATAATATTTTCTGAATAAATAAACTTTTAATTTTTTAAAAAAAAAATTATTAACACAAACAAAGAAATTTTAGATTGGCAGTTTTTTATTTTTTCTAATTTTACTTTTTTATTTTAAAATAATTAAAAACTCCAACTTGAAACTACTTTCAAATTTGAATGGATAGTTTTACATTTAATTTTCGTTTTTTATTATAAAATATTTTATTTTATTATTTTATGAATATTTAAATTCAAAAACTATAACCAATAACTAACATTAATTAAATAACTAATTATTAAATACTTGTGCCACGTGGCTTTTTTCTAGGCTGCCACTTGGCTTAAGGAGATGACTTTTTCCTCTCCTTTTAATAATATATGGATAATAATTAATAATAACTTAAATTTGTAAGAAATACATCATATATAGGTCTAATTGTAAGAGTTTATGGAGTTGCACATATATTTTGTATTAAGAATAATTGTATGTTGGTTGCTGTCATTAAAAAGTTGACATAAATTAAAAGTGATCTGCTAAAGTTTAAAGCTAGATGGGTCTATAAGACTCACCTCCTAAAGTATGGGGTCTTATGTGTAGATACCCGGATGTAACTTTTACTTTAATGATGAGCTAAATTAGAATTACATAAACATGTGCAACTATAAATGGGTTATGGTCCCCAAATCAGAAGTAGGATTTTCTTTTCTGATATCCCGTGGTTGGAAAAGTTGAGAACCACCCACGTCTTGGTTTGGAAGATCGATAACCACAAGACTGAAGAATCTCTGCACACTATAAGAAACTAGACTTATTGTGGCGACATATTGTGGCGACCCATTGGGTTGCAACAAAAGTTATAGTTTTAGCGGCGACTTTAAAATGTCGCTACAAAATGACAATATTTAGTTGCGACTTTATTAGGTCGCCTCTGATATATGCAACTAAAGGCTGAAATATTTCATTCCCGCGAAAGCAAAATTTTGGCTCCACAGATGTTGTGGCGACTTTAATAGAGTCGCTGCTAAATAGTTTTTTGGAGCGACTGGGTCGCCTCTATTACTTAGTTATTTTAATTTTTAAAAAAAAAGAATCGCATAACAATTAAAACAACAGAAGAACTTAAAAGAACAAATTCTTGTTTTCCCCTCCATTTCTCAATTTTATTGTTCCTCTCGCTAGAAACCCTCTTTCTTCTAAAACTCAGTACTGCTTTCCCCTACTCTGCTCAAACTCCCTCTCTGCTCAAAATCCCTAAAATCATAAAATGTGAATCTCATATAGATGCTCCATTTCTCAACTACGAAGGAAGAATTATGTTGGCTGCTCCGTTTCTCTGCTTCCAATTACTGACCCAAAAGCTCAAATCATGTATGTGTTAAAATCCCTAAATACTTTCATTTTTCTTTTGGGTTATACGAAAGCATGTTGTGTTTTCTTAGGATTTCCAAATACAGCAAGTATTAAGGAAAAATTTTATATTTGGGGTTCTTTATAATGATTCTAGAAGGCAAAATTTTTAACATGCAACTAGCAATAATTATTATTTTAATATTTTTACATTTGTATTGTCATATTTCACCTCAAATTTCTTTGACCCATTTGAATATTTACAGGAATTCGTACAGAATGTGTCATCTAAGTGTTGTTATTTGCTGATTCTAAGTCTTGGCCGAACTCTCAGCTATATATTTTCCTGGGTAAGTGAAAGTTTCTTCTTGAAAGACCCTTTGGTGCTGTTATTGCGATTTTATGTTTGGTATTTCATTCTTTCTCTGTTCTTATGTGGTTATTCTTTTTTTTCACGCATAAATTTGACAACTTTCTAGTCCCAGAAAGCTTTGAAACAAGAAATTGGGTTCTCTCCTGCTACTTTCAAGCTCCACTTTTACTATATTCCAGGTAACCTCATAACTCGAAGTTAGTTTTATGTACTATTTTATCACACTATGGTTTGAGTTTGAGCCTGTGTTGTGCTGATTTGGGTTTTAAGAATTTTGACCTGAGGTTTTAGATGGGGTATTTTAGTTTTAGATGGGGTATTTTAGGATGGAGTAATATTTGTTCTAATTACACATTGCCTGATTGGTTTTGGAAAACTTTGTCAATGGACTGGTTTAGCCGACATGTAATAAAAAATTTGTCTGAAATTTGCTAATTGTTAGTTTGTTTAACATTTTATAGCTGGATTACATTTGTATGTAACATGCTTCACATTTTTGTACTATAATCTGATTTGCTTAGTTGACACGGCGAGTTCACATAAATTCCATATCGATTTTAAATTTTTAGGTTCAAGTTGACTGAAGAAATTCAGGATAATCTCATATTCTAGGCCTTAGTCTTATTGGTTTTTTTGTTTCTATTTCGGATGGTACCTGTTATTGTATAGTTTTGGGTGTATTCTACTGTTTATTTGCATTGTGCTATGCCTTCTTTAATGATTTGTATGATATATTTTTGTACTAAAAAATGCTCCATCTCAGTTTCTGAAATTTACTTTCAATTCCTTAGTTTTATTTTGTATGATTTAGTTGTTATATACAACCTGTACTCTGCTTCTGTTTGATCTAGTTAATTCTTCTAGTATCTTGTCATGACAATTGGCTATTGTTTGGACGCTTGGGCGGCTGGTCTTGCTCTTGTTAGACCATTTTCTATTGTCAAAATAACATCAAGTTCTGGCAGTTTATTAATTTTACATTTGAAAAAGGACTAGTATATTGTTAGTTTTCTTCTGAGTTCTGATAGTAACTTAACCAAAAAAGAGTGCTTCTGAAAGTACTGCATGATTTGATATGGGATTTTGATTGTGTGGCTTGTTGAAAAGCTATTTAACAATCTTTATTTGGATAAAGTCATTAGACAGGATCTTTTAGGATGATGCGTTTTTGTTCTGTGATTTATAGTGTGTTTGTAGTTGATACACCAGAACTGGAACAGTGTATGTGCATTTACTCTTCTTGAGCAATTAGCAGCTGTGAAATTTTATGCGAGTGAAAATTGTGGTCTTGAAGACTATCTGGTACTCTGGTTTGGCATGAATTTCTGTTCTCCTCCTCATCTTTTGAGCAGCATTACCAATTTAGATTTTTTTCAGCACCACTACTAAAGTTCCGAGTGGGGAAAAAGTTGGGGCGTGAAATTTAACAATGTAACCTAGGACTGGGCATATATCGGATATAACTGATAGCTTCTTATCTACGGAACGTCCCACATTCTCTTTTGGTGCAGAAGTGTAGTTTTTGGATTCTCAAGATGAAGGATAACGTTATTTTTTAGGATATCTTCTAATATTTAGCTTGGAAAGTGGCAAACAGATTGGAGCCAGGCATTCGTTTTTCCAAAATTCCGTCGCTTATTTGGTTTTTTCTTTTTTCTTTTCCTCCCTTTTATTTAGACACAGATCATACTCAGGCTCTATGTTGACAAATAGTTCTTGAACAAGAGCCAAGAGGAGTGGACTGTTTTTTATTTTTAAATAACTCTTTTACTAGAGCAAGTTGGTGCGTAGTATATAAACCTAGTTGCTTTTCAGAACGTTATGATTCTTATTTTCATTTTCGAATTTACTCTGAATGTTAATTGTGTTATTTATTACTGCCATTTCATATCCACTTTTCAAGAAAAGATGCTACTATATACAAGTTTCCACGCATGTGTAAAAATCCTAAAGGGGGATATTCAATCAAGCTCCTATATCTTAGCTTCAATTTGAGAAGTGCCGGCTGATAATTTGAAAAACTAATATCTTAGCTTCATGTATTTCACCAAGTTTTACCGAGTAGTATTTACAGAGTATTGGGTTAATGTAGTTTCACATGGACAAACTTGGACGTTTTGATCTAGTTATTTTGACATAGAGAATTTTACAGAAGTGATATCATTTGTGAACCTGGATTGCACTTGGCTATACCAATGTTAACTTTTTCTCAATTCTGCATCACCAATTGATTTTTTTGGTATGTTAGTTATTATAGATATTTTGATTATTATAATCCTTCCACTTTTAATAGGTAATTCATTTATTTATTTTTTAAAATAGATATGATGGATAAAAGCTGGTTGAGTATTCGGAACAGAGTCGACCAAAGGTATAGAGATGGAGTAGACAACTTTCTTAATTGGGCATTCAGTCAACCAACGGTGAACACTATGATTCGGTGTCCTTGTAAAGGGTGCATGAATACCGTGTTCAAGCTAAGGGTTGGTGTAAGAGATGATTTATTGAAGAAGGGTTTTTGTGATTCTTATAAAGTGTGGGACTTGCATGGAGAAGTTTTAGTTAGAGTTGAAACTTCTAATACTGCAGTTAGTGATGAAGCGGGAGATGAAAGCATTGAAGAGGATAATATTACTGAAATGATTCACGATGCTTGTGGACATACGAATGTGGAGGATAATGATAATAATTCAGAGGACAATGAAGAGCCAAATATACATGCAACAAAGTTCTACAAATTGTTAGAAGATGCTGAGACAGAACTTTATCCTGGTTGTAAAAAAGTCTCGAAGTTGTCTTTTGTTGTTAAACTACTTCACTTGAAGTGTCTTAACCATTGGAGCAACAAATTGATGGATGCATTATTGAGCTTCTTTAAAGAAGTTCTTCCCGAGGGGTCATTTGTGCCTAATTCTTTCTATGAAGCAAAGAAAGTTCTTTGTGACCTCGGCTTGGGGTACACCAAAAAAGATGCATGTAGGAATGATTGTATTTTATATTGGCGTGATTATGCCGATGTCCAAGCATGTCCTAAGTGTGGTAAGTCTAGATGGAAGTCCGAAGAACACGGAGGCAAGAAAGTAGCTCATAAAATCTTGCGGCATTTTCCAATCAAACCAAGGCTTCAAAGATTGTACATGGCAAGAGAAACAGCTAAAAAGATGAGGTGGCACAAGGAGGGAAATGTTGATGATGGTGTCTTGCGACATCCATCTGACTCAATAACATGGAAATCCTTTGATGCACGACATTCCACCTTTTCAGCTGAGTTAAGAAATGTTCGATTAGGTTTGGCGAGTGACGGGTTCCAACCTTATGGGAACATGAGTTCTAATCATAGCATTTGGCCAGTCGTACTAGCTACGTATAACTTGCCACCATGGGATTGCATGAAAAATCCATATTTCATGATGACGCTTCTTATTCCAGGCCCCAAGTGTCCAGG